CTCTATCATCTATCTATCTATCTATCTATCTATCTATCTATCTATCTATCTATCTATCTATCTATCATCTATCTATTTTAATTTGTCAACAAGTACAAGGAAACAAGTAGGAAAAACACATGAAAAAATGGCACAAATAAATGGATATAAATAAGCAAAACATAGCCATAAACACATAAAGAGTACATATAAATGGGAACAGTGAGACAGGGACGGTAGGCATGCTGGTGCGCTTATGCACACCCCCCTTAGGGACCTCTAGAAACACATAAGGTCCACGGTAGACAGCTTAAGGTAAAAAGTATGGGGGTTAGAGGAACTAACAATAGGATCAGGTAGGGTGTTCCACACATTTACTACTCTATTGCTGAAATAGTTTTTCCTGCAATAAAGATTAGAACGGATTACATTTAGTGTGTATCTATTGCTAGCCCTTGTGTTATTGCAGTTGAAGTAAAAGTAGTCATTAACAGGTAGGACATTATGGCAGATGATCTTGTGCACTAAGCTCAGGTTGGAATGTACCTACCTATGTACCTATAGAATGTATCTATTCTCTGTCCCCCGAGTCCCAGCTGATTGGGAGGGAATGGGGAATTTGCAGTATCCTTCCCCTGCCACGCCCGCCAAGCCAAGCCCACAGAACTGGTAGTACAAAAATTGAATGGCATCACTTGTGCTCACCTCTCCTTCCTTGCAGAAAGAGGAAGCCGAGGCTCGGGCCCGGGAAGAGGCTGAACGCCAACGAGTGGAACGAGAAAAACATTTCCAGAAAGAAGAACAAGAACGGCTGGAGAGGAAGAAGGTAAGAGGGTTGCCTGAGAATCCCAAGGTTGGTTGCACCTGGAGTGCTGCACCAATTAATCATGCAAGATGTGGACATCTCTAGAATAGTTTGATCCTGTATAGGAGAAAGGTCACTTGGCGGGTTTGCTTCCAAAGCAAGCAGGCCAGCTTGTCTTAGCCACTGCGTTGGAGAGCAACCATCCCAGTCAGGAGGAGGGGTCAAATGGGGAATAGTCTGGAGGCATTAGGTAAACCCAAGACACAAGGTCTGACCAGGGGTGGGATTCAAAAATTTTAGCAACCGGTTTTCTGCCTGCACGGAACGCTGTTACCTTCCCACCAAAGGTGGTTCCTATTTTTCTATTTGCATTTTTACATGCTTTTGAACTGCTAGGTTGGCAGAAACTGGGACAAGTAACAGGAGCTCACTCCGTTATGTGACACTAGGGATTCAAACTGCTGATCTTTCTTTATTTTTTTAATATTTTTTTTCAGACAAACACACAACACATATAACATAAAAGCCTCTTCAATTACACAGTGTGTCGATTGGTTACAAAGTCTTTCTTTCCGTAGTCCTCACTTGAATTTTATCAAAATTCACATATTGACAATCAAGATTATCTTTGTATACGCTGTTGTTATGCTTCCTCCTATTCTAAGTCATTCAATCATTTTAGCATTGAT